ACTGTTTCCTTGGAGTGGACCTCGAAGATTTTCCACGCGTTGTAGTTCTTTTCGATTCCCAGGTGTAGTCCCCACTGTGCTTGTTGAGAAAATCGGCCCGCTCGTACTGCTGGGGGTCGGTACTGTACCATGCATCCGAAAACTCATAACATTTTTGTGCTGCCCTATTTCCCTGTCCATAGCAGATGCGGTGATGCGTTGTTTGGAAGCGATGATGACGACAGCAAGTTGTGCAGCATGACAGCGTGGTCCATTGCTGCAGGCCACTGATGGTTGGGTAGCCGCATGCCACGTAACAGTTTGCGCATGCTGTTCTGCAAGGTCCTGTTCATTCTTTCTGCTACACCTTGCTGCTGATGGGCGTAGGGAAGGGAGATGAGCTGCTTGATTCCCCTTTCCATCAGGTACTGCTTGAATCGCTGAGAGGTGTATTCTCCTCCTCCGTCTGACTGGAAGCTTTTCATATGCACGCCCGATTCTCTCTCTACTACTGGTAGCCAGGCAACGAAGGCTGCGAATGCCATGTCGCGGCTAGGGAGGTTTAGGTGCCAGACGTAACGGGTGGCGGCGTCGATGAAGGTGATCGTGTAGTTGTATGTTACTTGTCCTGGTTCCCGATTGAACAGGATGTTGCTATACACCTTCTCAAGTGGTGCGTACGCGGGAGCGCTCGGGTTGTGATGAGGCGCGAACGGTCGATGTGGTAAGTCACCTTCAGGGCAGGTGAAGCACGTTCCGCGTACTCGTCCGTCGGTCAATAGGAGTGAGTCCTTGTCGAGTACTCCTGCTCTTATTGTATTGTTTAATATTGTGTTGCTTGGATGTCCCATCCTTGCGTGCCATGTGCTTTCGACAGCGCGATGTCCGGGTGATCGTCGGTACATGTCGGAGTTGGAGTAGAAGTTGGCGGTGAAGTTGGCGCTACGATGAACTTCTCGTGGTGCAGGGTGTAGTTGTTGCGCGGGTGTTGGTGGTGTGTCGTCGATGAGGAGCGGTGTCGTTGAAGGACCAGCGATTGGTATTGACGTTCCTGCTGCTGCCGTTGATGGTTCTGCGGCTGCCGATGTTGTCTCTGCTGCTGCCGATGTTGTCTCTGCTGCCATCGACGTTGTCTCTACTGCTGCCGATGTTGTCTCTACTGCTGCCGATGTTGTCTCTGCTGCTGCTGATGTTGTCTGAATTGTTGGTAACGCCCTTGTTCTTTCTGCTTCATGGATGGTGTGTGAATACTTGAAGCCTTCTGGTCTGAAGTCTGGATCAAGGTCTGGAGGGTGTGTCCAGTTGGTGAAGTTGACGATGGCGTCGCTGTCGGCGGTGCCAAGGTCAGGAACGAGATCAAGAACGAAGACGTTGTTCTTGAGGACCGCCTTGCCGATGTAGAGTCCTCCTCTCCCGTGATACAGCTTGAATTCTTGGGTGGTGCTGTCTGCTTCGAGGTGAATCCCCTTCGCCATTAGCTGACTGACGCTCAGTAAGTTGTAGCCGAGTCCCTCCGCGATTAGTACTTTTGACATCTGCACTATAACGTTTGTTTCCCTTGACTGAAGTTGAACTACGCCTTGTCGTCCTGTTCGCAGGTTCTGATTGTTGGCGACTGTAATGACAACTTTGCGTTGAAGTTGGTGTTCTCGTTGAACGAAGCGTCCCGAGGAGCACATGTGCTTTCCGCAGCAACTGTCCAAGAACCATGTGTCCCTTCCGGATGGTTCGCTTTGGGCGATGGCGGCGTATGTCGGGTTCGGCTGAAGTGACTCGCGGCGGGGTGTGGTTTCGTCGAGTTGTTCTTCCGGTGAGTAGTGTGGTGGTGACTCGGTGATGCAGGAGTCTGTCAGCTTTGCCATGCAGCTGACGATGTTTCTTGCTCCTTGTGCAGGTTGTCCTGTTGAGATCGTTGAAGATTGAATCTGAGTCGTGGGATTTACTTACGTTGAGGCGATTTGGCTGCTTGAAGGTCGAAGTTGCCGTTGTGGGGTTGTTGACTGTTGACGATTCGGGCAGTGTGTACGCGGGTGTCCTGAAGTTTTGCAGAAGTGGCAGAACGGAGGTACTGGCTTCGGTTGTTGCTGCCAGTTGTTGTTGATGTTGTAGCGTCGCTGGGTGTGGAACGCGAATTCCGGTGCTGATGTCTTCTTTCTGTGTCGTTCTTCTTGCAGGTCCATGTCTTGCTGCTCGGCGTGGATTTCGGCACAGAGCGCTGCTTCGGAGATTCTTCCGTGAGCTTGGAGGATGGCCTTTGTGGCGCGCCATTGAGGACCGAGGCCGCCGATGATGACTGTCACGAAGGCGTCTTCAGAAATCGACCCTCCGCATCGAAGAAGCTTGTCGCGCAACTCGCGACATCGACTGATATACGCCATTCCTTTCTCCCCTGGTTTCATTTCAACCGTTGTCAGTCGCGCCATTAATCGACTTTGACTTACACTATCTATTGCTTGATACAGGCTCTTCAGGTGGTTGTACGCGAGCTCCGCGGAGTTGCCGTAACCTCGGTAAGTCCTTATGTTCTGCTGTTGAGTCGGGGTGATGTTCCTCAGTAGGATCGTATACGCCATCATTGACTGATAGGTGTACTGCTGCTTCTTGTACTGTGTGCCGTTTGTTGGGTATGGCAGAGACCCGTCGAAGAACCCGAGAATCTGCGCGCCTTCCATCATCAGCTCGAGCTCGAACGACCAGGTGAAGAAGTCCTTTCCATCGAAGGGTCTTGACGTCTGCATCTTCAGAACATGAGCGAACTGCGACTGAACTTGCAATGCGTCCAGTGGTTTTTCTTGTCCAGGTGAGGGCTGTGTGTGTCGCATGAAGTTGATGGACCCGCGCTCGTACGGAGCAAAGGTAGGCTGCTGTTGTTGATTTCCTCGTGCATATGATGAGTCGTCGAGACTCATGGGTGTTGCTCCGTTGTTGTTGCTGTTGTGTGACTGCGCAGGTGCTGATTGCAAGTGTTGCTCGTAGAAGGACATGAAGGAGAAAAACTTCTCCATCATGCTCTGGTCGAAGTCCGCAGGTTGATTCGCGGGAGTCTCGGTAGATGTTCCTCTGGGTCTTGCTTCCGTGCCCTCCTCTGTGTGTAGGCCAGAGGCAGGAGGTGGAGTAGGAGTAGTGCCCTGGGAGCCGTTGGAGTTGCTCCTTTCTTTTTGTGTAGCCATGCTGATTGATATTGTTGGTATAGAAGTTGAATTCCCCCTGATAGCTCTCATACCATGTTGGACTGAAAAAGCCCTTAGGATCTTTGCAGGGGTGAACTCTGGGTAGAGTTGGTGTAGTAGCGGAAGCGTTAATAAGGAGTTGTGAACCACCTTGCGCTAGTATGTGAGGGCAAAGTAAGTTGATTAAAACAAGGAGATACAAGATTATATATGAGTACAGGGAATATGAAAAGACACAGTTATAACTACTTTACTGTTGCTGTTGCGGTTCGATACAGTGACGACTCGGGCAACTGCTCTGTAACGAATCAGTTGTGTGTCCTTGCTGTCGCGCTGTACTTGTCAGGTCAAAGGTCACTGACCTTTGACTTTCGCGTAACCTCCAGCGGTAACTTCAACCTCCGAGGGTTGACTCGCTGGTTCCTCTATATGCTTTGCTTCGCTTGTGCCTTAGTGTTTCGACACGACAGAGGCGCTTAGGACCGATTGTTTCCAACAAACTCTGGGTAGAGTTGGTGTAGTAGCGGAAGCGTTAATAAAGAGTTGTGAACCACCTTGCGCTAGTATGTGAGGGCAAAGTAAGTTGATTAAAGCAAAGAGATACAAGATTATATAAGAGTACAAGGAATACGAAGAGTGAGATGTCAGAACATTATAGCTTATACATTTGTGTAGGCTGTAGTGGGGTAGCCCGTAAGGGGTACAACTCAATTAGGGTTAGCACTTGTACCCAACTGTCTCATAGTTCATTCATTCCATTCTCACTTCTCGTCATGGTATCGAGCAGGTTCCTGATTGGGAATATTGCCTAGGGCCCACCACGAACTTTTTTTTCCTTCCTTGCCCGGAGCGCGCTTAGCTCCTAACCCGAGTAGCACCTTGAGCCGCCTTAGTGGCCCCTATTGGCCGCCCTTACTGCCCCTCGAGCCGCCCCCTACGGCCTCGCTTAGGCTGCTACGGCCCCGCTACGGCCCCGCTTAGGCCCCGTCGGCCCCGCTACGGCCCCGCTTAGGCCCCACTACGGCCCCGCTACGGCCCCGCTACGGCCCCGTCGGCCCCGCTTAGGCCCCGCTACGGCCCCGCTACGGCCCCGTCGGCCCCGTCGGCCCCGCTTAGGCCCCGCTACGGCCCCGCTACGGCCCCGTCGGCCCCGTCGGCCCCGCTACGGCCCCGCTACGGCCCCGCTACGGCCCCGTCGGCCCCACTTAGGCCCCGCTACGGCCCCGCTACGGCCCCACTACGGCCCCGTCGGCCCCGCTTAGGCCCCGTCGGCCCCGTCGCGGCCCCGCTCAGGCCTCGCTTCAGCCCCGTCAGCCCCGCTTAGGCCCCGCTGCGGCCCCGCTACGGCCCCGCTACGGCCCCGTCGTGGCCCCGCTTCGGCCCCATCGGCCCCTCTACGGCCCCACTTAGGCCCCGCTTCGGCCCCGTCGGCCCCGCTACGGCCCCGCTTAGGCCCCGCTACGGCCCCGTCGCGGCCCCGCTACGTCGCCCACTTCGGCCCCGTCGCCACCGCGGCCCCGCCCACCCTTGCGGCCCGCCGCCACCTGCGACCTCGCCACCACCTGTGACCCCGCCTCCCAGCGCCCGCAGCGCCGAGCAGCCGAACCGCCGGCCACCTGAGCCGCCCGACCGCCCGAGCCGCCCAGCAGCCGAGCCGCCCGACAGCCGAGCCGCCCAGCACCGTGCAGCCGAGCCGCCTAGCAGCCGAGCCGCCCAGCAGCCGAGCCGCCCAGCAGCCGAGCCGCCCTGCAGCCGAGCGGCCCGACAGCCGAGCCGCCGAGCAGCCCGATCCCTCCACCTACCTGGTAAGAGCACAGTCTCTGCCACTGCACTGCCTTGCCTACTGCTGTTATGGCTTCCCCTAGCGTTCTCACCTTTGACGCTGAGGGTTGGGCAGTGGACTTTGAGGTCTGGGTAGATGATCTACAGCTTTTCCTGCAGTGCGATAGGGCAGACGGCCTCTCCCTGTTTGACCTCACTTCTGGTGCCTCCCCTGCCACTGCTGCTGATGCTGACGCCACTGTTCGCTCACAGTGGGCCACACGTGACGCTGCTGCTCGCCTTGCTGTGCGCCGCCACTTACCGACCACTGAGCGTGCACACTTTAGCCAGTACAAGAGTGCACAGACCTTGTACGACGCTGTAGTTGCACGCTACTCTTCCCCTGCCACTGCTGCACTGAGCCGCCTCATGCTACCGTACCTCTTCCCTGACCTTGCTGCCTTTCCCACTTTCGCTGACCTCATTACGCACCTCCGCACTAGTGACACTCGCTACCGCGCTGCGCTTCCTCCTAAGTTCTGCGCCAAGAACCCCCCCCCCCCATGTACATCACCCTCTACTACATAGTCACCCGTCTCCCTGACTCTCTCCGTGTAGTCAGGGACCACTTCCTCTTTGTTTGCCCCACCACTCTCACCGTTGACCTCCTCGAGAAGGCCCTCCTAGCGATAGAGAAGAGCATAGTCGCTATAGGAGCCTCTCGTGGTGACCCTCGCACCCCCGTCTTTGAGGGGTGTTCTCCCTCCCCCCTCTTGCCCTCTCTTACCTCTGCTGCTGCGGCCGACCTCGTTGGTTTCGAGTCGGTCGGCGCTGCGTCTGCCCCGAGCGGGAGACGCCGCACCGGCAAAGGCAAGGGGGGCAAGGGCACTTGAGGGGGTGGAGGGGGCGGTGGAGGTGGTGGTGGAGGCGGTGGAGGGAGTGGGGGTGGTGGTGGGAGTGGTGCTGGGGGTGGCGGTGGCGGCGGCAGCAGTGGAGGCTGCGGAGGCGGTGGAGGTGGCGGAGGGAGCGGAGGCGGTGGAGGTAGTGGAGGTGGAGGAGGTGGAGGAGGCGGCGGAGGCGGCGGAGGCGGCGGCGGCGGCGGAGGCGGCGGTGGTGGAGCGAGTCGCGACTCTGCGCCGAGGAGTGGCGCCGATGGTGGTCACCGCCAGCAGCAGCAGCGGAGTGGTGTGACCCTGTCCCCTCAGCAGCTTCGTGAGTGGTACACTCCACGCTAGCGCGGTGGGGGTTTTGTTCCCTGCTCTTACGTTCTCCGTACCAGCGACCGCACTGGTGAGCAGTGCGGAGGTCCGCACTCCACCCAGCGCTGCTTTTGTCGCCTGACGGGCGTGTGGCGTTGCCAGTTCCCTGAGGCGTCAGAGATCCCTCGCTGGGGAGATCTGGCTAAGGCCGGGGTTGCTATCTTTGATCTTGACTTTGATGCTATTCTTGCTGCCATGTATGCTGTTGCTGATAGTGTTGAGGGTGCCTATTACCTGTGTGTACCGCCTGACCCGGGCATTGAGGCTGCTGCGCTAGGTGCTGGTGAGACTGCTGCTCTAGGTGCTAGTGCGTCTGCTGCCCCAGGTGCTAGTGCGTTTGCCGCCCCAGGTGCTGGTGGGTCTGCTCTCTCAGGTACTACGTTGGCTTAGGCCTTCCACACCTTCACCCTGGACTCGGGTGCGTCCCGCTCCTTCTTTCGAGACCGCACCACACTTCACCGCTTAGTCGGCCAGTTGCAATCTCCCTGGCAGACCCCTCTGGGGGTCCTGTCCTTGCTAGCTTCTCCACTGTCCTTCCGTGCCCGGCAGCCCCCTCTGGCACCCTGTCCGGTCTCTACCTCCCCTCGTTCTCTACGAACTTGGTGAGTCAGCGAGTGACCCACTGCAGGTGCGCTCGGACAGGCCGACACTTGGCCACGTTCACCCGTCGGCCAGGGTCGAGCCTGTACACCCTTACTGCTAAGTCTCCTCCTACTGCTGAGTCTGCCCAGGTAGCTGCATCAAGTCAGGTGTTTGGTGCAGCGTCCACGTCTGGTCCTGAGTCTACCCCCTGCTCGTGTCGTCTGCTGTCCCACCAGACTCTCTTTTGGCACCACCGCCTTGGTCACCCCTCCTTGCCTCGTCTCCGAGGCATGGCCTCCCGTGTCCTTGTCTCTAGTCTTCCTCGGTCTCTCCCTCCCCTTCCTCCGGGGCCTGGCCCCACCTGCGTCCCCTGCGTCGAGGGGCGACAGCGCGCCGCCCCTCACTCCTCCGAGTTTCCTCCGACAGAGGCTCCGCTGCAGACTCTACACATGGACGTGTGGGGCCCAGCCCGCGTCAGTGGGCAGGGGAGAGAGCGGTACTTTCTGCTGGTCGTTGACGACTACTCGCGTTACACCACAGTCTTCCCCTTGCGCAGCAAGGGTGACGTCACTAAGGTGTTGATCGACTGGATCCGCGCAGCTCGTCTCCAGCTCAGAGAGAGTTTCGGCTCGGACTTTCCTGTTTTGCGTCTGCACTCGGACAGAGGAGGGGAGTTTTCCTCTGCCCGTCTGGGAGCCTTCTGTCGAGCACAGGGCATCCGCCAGACCTTCCCGCTTCCGGCCTCTCCACAGCAAAATGGGATTGCTGAGCGCCGCATTGGCATGGTCATGGACGTCGCGCGTACGTCCATGATGCATGCGGCTGCCCCCCATTTTCTGTGGCCGTTTGCGGTTCAGTACGCCGCGCATCAGCTCAACCTTCATGAGAAGATTGAAACGAGAAGTGGATGAACTATGAATGAGCTGAGTACAAGTACTAACCCTAATTGGGTTGTACCCCTTATGGGCTACCCCACTATAGCCAACACAATAAGCACAAGCAATATGTTCTGACACACCCCCATAGGCAAAGTGGGGGAGAACAAGGGGTCACAAGACCAGTCAAGCAAAGCAAAGCAAAGCAAGCTCAGGGTGGATCACAAAGTCACCACACATTCCGAGCACAAGTTCAAGGCCACAAGGCCAGTTCACATGCAGGAGTACATATATATATAAGGCTAGACAAGCAAGAGCAGGTATATATATCTGTAACAGTACACGCAAGGTCAAGAGGTGAGCAAGTGAGGCAAGACAGGTACAAGACCCAGCTGGGTGCAAAAGCATTGATGATCACAAGGCGCAAGTGCCTTGGTGAAGACATCAGCAGTGTTGGCCTCAGAGGCCACGTACGCAAGCCGCAACTGACCACGCTGTTGTAGCTCACGAGCAAGGAAGTAGCAAAGAGCAATGTGCTTTGTTCTTTGCTCCAGTCTCTGCTCTCGACACAAGGCCAGCATGGCCTTGTTGTCTACGTACAGGACTGGAGGAGAACGAGGCGACTCTCCAAGGTCGGTCAGCAGATAGGTGAGCCATCGAAGCTCCTATGCAGCCATGGCCCCGGCGTAGATCTCAGCCTCACAACTGGAGCCGAGAACAGAAGACGAGCGAGTAGCCCGCCACGAAACAGGGCCGGAACCAAGGCTGAAGGTGTAACCCTGTGACGACCGCTGCGTAGCATGGTCGTCAGCCCAAGAAGCGTCCGCGTGTCCAGTGAGGACTACTGGACTCCGCCCTCCAAGCACTAGCCCCATGCCCGACGTACTGCACAAGTAGCGCAACACCCTCTTCGCTGCAGCCATGTGCTCTGGTCGGTGTCTCCCAGGAGCAACATAGCGTGCGAGAATGCTAAGAGGGTATGCAAGGTCAGGTCGTGTGCAGGTCATCAGGTACATGAGGCAGCCAACAAGCTCTGGATACGGGCCACTCGACTCTACGGACTCATCCGAAGGCAGAGCTGAGAGCAAGTGGCGAGTAGACAGAGGAGTGGCCTGAGGCGAGGAGTACGTGAAGCCGAAGCGCTGAAGGACCTGCTGCACTATGTGTGACTGAGTCAGGGTAATGGTGCGGCGTGCTCTGTCCCGGGTGATCTGCAAGCCAAGGTAGCTGCGCAGTTCACCCAGGTCTGTGCACGTGTGTCTCTTCTGCAGCTCGGACTTTACGTAGGCGAGTCCAGCAGTGTCAGCTGTGGCAAAGACCAAGTCGTCGACGTACACGAGGATGTAGAACGGCGGCAGAGAAGTGTCGGTGCGTAGAAACAGCAACGGGTCGGCAGTAGAAGGAGCAAACCCAAGAGCCGCAAGCGTAGTCCTCAGTGTGTCGTGCCACTCACGTGGCGCGTGGCGGAGACCGTAGACTGGAAGCCGGAGACTCCACTGGGTACCAGGAGGGAAAGACTCAGTGAAGCCAGGTGGGCGGCGCAGCCAGATCTCCTTGTGAAAGCTGCCCTGCAAGAAAGGTGTGCTGAAGTCGAGAGAGTGCAGCTCGTAGTTACGGTGAGCAGCAACGTGAAGCAGTACCCGAAGAGTGGTCATCTTCGGGGTGGGAGAGAAGGTCTGAAAGTAGTCAACTCCCTGCCGCTGACTGAAGCCACGAGCCACGTAACGCGCCTTGAAGACAGGCGGAGAACCCGGCGGCCGCTTCACCCTGAAGATCCACATGTCACTGACGATGTTCGCCCCAGGAGGGGGGACAGCGTCAACGTAGGTGCCTGTGGACTTCCAGGAAGCCATATCTGCATCCATAGCTGCCTGCCACTGAGAAGAGTAGGGACCCTCTATCGCCTCCGCGTAAGAGCGCGGAGTCGGGATGTCAAGTGCATCCGGGTCTCCCTCAGGGGTAAGTAGTACGGACACGAGATGAGGTGAAGCAGCGGCCAAGCACTGGAACTCCTCCTATCTGTCCTCAAAGACGTCCGTGCCAAGGGCACACTCACCCCCGACGGACGGAGGACAGACAGACTCAGACTCAGCGACAAGACTAGCAGCGTAGTCTAGACGACAGCGAGCAGCAAATTCGACGAGCTCAGCAACTAGGGCAGACGCAGCAGTGGACTCGAAAGAAGGGTCAGTGACGATAGTAGCCAGGAGACGCGTGACAGTAGAACTGGCAGCACGAAGAGGGTCCGACTCCGGGTCGGCAAGTGTAGGAAGAGAGGACTCAGGAGGAGAAGGCAAAGGGGCACGCAGAGGAGCAGTGGACGGACGCAGAGACATCCTGTGCGTGCCAGGGACAGGAGGAGGACGCTGACGCGAACCACGACCACTAGCGCGAGCAGCACGGACAGGCGACGCAGGGCGATATGCAGGCTCACGACGCTCAGTAAGACCTCCAGTAGGACCACTGTAGGGAGAAGGAGCAGGCAAAGGGGAGGTAGGCTGCAACTGTAACTGTGACGGGACTGGCTGTGGACACTCTAAAGAAGGAGGAGGACTAGAAGAAGGCGGAAGACCAAGAACCTGCTGCAGGAGTGGAACGAAGTACGGTCGAGGCCGCGCAGCGACGCCAGACACAGCAGGTACAGCACTAGTACCCCCAGCAGGAGCACCCGCTCCAGCTGCACCACCAGCAGCGCCAGAACCTCCAGCAGTACCAGGAGTACCCGCAGCAGGACCGCCAGCAGTAGTCTCAGCTCCAACACCCTCAGCAGCATAAGCTCCAGTCGAACCCGCAGGCCCAGCAGCTCCAGTACTCCCAGTACGAGCACGGCCGGGACCCGCGACAGCAGCACCCTTAGTAGCAGAAGAACCTCCAGCACCAGCAGCACGCCTCCAGCGCCGGGCAAACCACTCGCACAGCTCCCGTATAGACGAAGCACCCGGAGAACCTCCAGGCGGAGCACCTCCAAGCTCAGCACCCCCAGGCTCAGCACCCCCAGGCTCAGCACCCCCAGGCTCAGCATCCCCAGGCGCAGCACCCCCAGACTCAGCACCCCCAGGCTCAGCACCCCTAGTCTCAGTATACCCAGGCTCAGCACCCCCAGGCTCAGCACCCCCAATCGCAGCACCCCCAGGCTCAGCACCCCTAGGCTCAGCACCCCCAGAGTCAGCACCCCCAGGCTCAGCACCCTCAGCAGCACCAGAGTCACCAGTGACCTCGACAGGCTCGACTACGTCTACCTGGGACACACCTGAAGGGGACGGACCTTGAGGGGGGAGGGGGTCTACCGGAGGGGGACCTGGTACAACGAAGAGTGGCGGCGGGGGGAGGGACGGAGTGCGGTAGGGGAAGAGGCGGTAGTAGGGGACCGACTCGTCAAACGTGACGTCCTGGGAGGACAGAACACGGCGAGAGGTGGGGTGGTAGAACTGCCACCCAGGCGCGTCAGGGGGGAACCCCAGGAAGACGCAAGGAGCAGCACGAGGGGACAGCTTGTCCGCAGACAAGTCGCGGACAAACGCTCGAGATCCCCAGACCCGGAACGCCGACGCATCGCCAACCTTCCCCGTCCACAGCAAGGCTAGGGAGGTCTCCGGCCTGGAGACCCTGGGGTGTAGGTTGATCTGATGCACCGCGTACCGGAACGCAAACGGCCACAGAAAATGGGGAGCAGCCGCATGCATCATAGACGTACGAGCAACGTCTATGACCATGCCAATGGGGCGCTCAGCAATCCCATTTTGCTGTGGAGAGTCCGGAAGCGTGAAGGTCTGACGGATTCCTCGTGCGCGACAGTAGGCTCTCAGAAGGCCAGAAGAAAACTCTCCGCCTCTGTCCGAGTGCAGACGCAGAACAGGAAAGTCCGAGCCAAAGCTCTGCCTGAGCTGGAGACGAGCTGCGCGGATCCAGTCGATCAGCACCTCAGTGACATCA